CCCCACCGGCGTCTCGTCAGGCACAGAGAAGCAACCCCCGCCCCCCAGGCCCGACCGGGGCGACTGCCCTCCGGCCGCCAAGCGCAAGAGGCGTGGCCGGGGGCGGGTCACTCACCTGCCGCCGCGCCGCTGCCCCTCTCGCCGGGCCCCTCCCCACCCGGCTGCGGCTGAGGAGACGAAGGCGCCGCCGCCGGAGCTGTAGCCGCGAGGGAGCCGCGCGGAACAGCGCGCATGCGCGTTTGGCCGTCGACGTCACCGCGTCGGGGATACGTAGGAGGGGCTGTCCTCAGGAGTACTGCCCATGCCCGATTGCTCCGCCCCCTTCCAACTTGGCGTCCAGCCTCCTCCCTCCTCCCTCTCCAGCTCTGTCCCTCTTTCCTGGCCGCCAATCGAAGCTCGGCTAAGAGGACGCGTACTCCACGCCTGCGCAGAGGAATTCCCCCTCCGTTCCCGCACGTGCCTTGCAGACACGTCACCTTTTCGTGTCATCTTTAAAGTGGGCGGTGGCGACCCACGCATGCGTCCTGCGGGGCAACCTGGCTGGAGGTCCCGCCCTCGAGCCCCTGGACCAATAGGAAGGCCGCAATTCTTTCCATGTGACTCTGACGGACGCTGTGGGGGTGTTGTGTTCAGTCCTTCGTGGGAAAGTGTCGAGCGCCGACGCTGAGTTGAGGTCGGTGCGGTTATTTGGGGCTTCGTGTGGTGTTTAGCACGGATTGATCATGAGCGAAACATCACTTATTCATCATTTACAGATTAGCATGATGTCACTACATAATAATAATTTTTTATCTATCTATCTATCTATCTATCTATCTAATATTCTGGTATATATAAATATATTCTGGTATATATAAATAATATATAAAGTTATTTCTTTATATATTCTGGACAGTGTGTATACACACACACACATCTATACATATATACATATATACGTATACACACACACACACACACACACACTCTGTCCAGAAGAGTGGAGGGCTAGGAACAGCCCAGATCCTGTCATACAAATTTCCCACCAACTAGAAAAGTAGGCTCCTAGGTAGTAGGTGACTCTAAATCATTTCTATATTTTTCTTTTCGCTTCTGCCTGGAAGAACTTCGAAGAAGATTCTTTGAGGTAGTCTGAACTGATAAAAACTTTGCTGCCTCCTACTAATTCTGCACAACGGGTAGATTTGAATGACGATCATCTTGAAAAGGAAGGACAAGGTTCTGCCTAGAAGGGAGGAAGGATCAGTGTGCCCTGAAGGACAAAGTGAAAAAGGGGTTGTGCCCACCTGGGTGACCCTTACCCAGGACAGAAGGGACCACCTTTGCCTGCTCCCAGAACGTGATGGTGGGACAGCATGTTCTTTGGCACGAAAAGCCTTTCTTTCAACGGTTCTCTCTTGGCTCAAGAAAGATAGTTGTCAGTTCAGGTTGCTGCTTTTCCTGGCATGCTTCCAGTTAATCACGCCAGCAGAAAATATGAGAATTTGAGCCCTGTGACATAAGGAGGGAAAATCCAGGTTACCAGCCAGCTAAAGATGGAGGAGAGGCGGTGAAAAGGACACGGGTGACCTAGGAGAAGGATTTTCCTGGCAACGGATCAATCACTTTGTAAAGAATAGGTGGCCATTTTTACTGTGTTTAAAATACTGTTTTAGAAAACAAAATCCAGGATCCCCAGTTCTGTTTTGGGGCGTAGGCAGTTGAGATGGTGAGATTCTATTGCCCGGCAATCATTATAAAGTTTTCCCCTCAAATGAACTCAGCTTCCAGGGACTGAAGCACAGGTTCATGTTACGTTCTTGGCAGGGATACGACAGCGGTTTGCCATGAACTTCCTTGTCAATATTTTTTCATCTATCTAGACTAGCCTATAGCTCTGAAATTTCTGGTGGTCTCCCATCCAGACCTGAACTTTGCTTAGTTTTTCTGAGACCAGCCAAGGTCAGCTAGATGCTGCCGTTTGTAGTACCAGTAAATAAAAAGAGAAAAGCAAAATAGGAGCAAAATTATATCAACCCGCCACATCCGATCATCAGCCGGGTCTGTCCCTGATCTGCTGAGTTAGGAACCTTTTTCCTGGATGTGACTCCAAGATTCATTACAGCAGCTCTGTAAAATTGGCCAGATTAATTAATTAATGCTTTCTCTCTCTTAGAAGCAGGGTTGGGGTTGGCTCATGGATTTCTGAGATGGAACTCAACATTTCAGAACTCAATTTCAGAATTAAAAAAAAAAATTAAAAGATTTTTATCCCACTTTTTTTTCACATACAACTCAAGGCAGCGAATGTACCTAATACTCCTTCCTCCTCTTTTCCCCACAACAACAACCCTGTGAGGTGAGCTGGGCTGATAGAGACGGACTGGCCCAAAGTCACCCAGCCAGTTTTTCATGCCTAGCGTAGGACTCGAACTTAGCATCTCCTGCTTTTTAGCCTGGTGCCAGCAAACTGTCTCTTTTTACTTAAGTTCAATTTTTATTTTATGATTTACTTTATTTACTTTTAACTTTTTTTTAATTTTTTCTACCAGCTGTCAACAGCAATTAATAATTCTTTGAGCATCTTTGGGAAGGCTTCTGACCTTAACGATGGCCTGAGGATAATTTTGAATTAAATCTCCCTCTCGGTTTTGCTCACCAGGCAAGGCAACATCCAGGGTCATTTGGAGCCTCGGCTGAAAAGAAACAGCGCTGCTGGATTTTTATGAACTTCATTCTGTTTTTACAGACAGAGACGCACACCCAGAGACTGGACTTTAGGACCTTGGGCAGTGCTGAAAGGATGTGCAGGGGTCTTACCCAGCAAGTAAACTTTGGTGATTAAATTTGCAAGCCCATCTTGCTGAGCTGCTTGCCCATCAGTAAAATAGCATTTGGAAAATGAAATTTCAAATCGTGCGATCTCCGATTTAGTGCGAAGTGTAAATTGATACCAGGTTGTGTTTCACATGACCCAAAATTCAGTTAAGGTGAGGCTAGCTCACGCACAACTGCGGCTACAGCCCACGCAGTTGTCGGGATTTTAAACCCTGTGCATCTTTGTGGGTGCAAGATGGAGAAAAGGAAGATTCCGTCAGAGGAAAATAGCACAAGTTTTAAAAAGAAGAGGCTCGTTCTTGCCTTAGAGCAAAAATTGGATGCAATTGAACAACGCGAGATACGCTAATGATGTACTGCTGTTCTTCTGGATTGTGTAGCCTAAGGTGGTCTTGCCATTATTTTGAACAAAGCATCTAACAAATGACGCAAATCAGAAAACGCTGTGTAGAAGGTTTAATAGGGAAAAGCCATATTTGGCTTATTGTCACATATACTACGTCCAGATGCCCACCTTCCACTGAACAGCGATAGCTGATGGACAAACGCCATTTTCCTGGTCTAGACCAGCATTTCTCAACCTTGGCAGCTTGAAGATGTGTGGACTTCAACTCCCAGAATTCCCCAGCCAGCATAGCTGGCTGGGGAATTTTGGGAGTTGAAGTCCATACATTTTCAATTTGCTAAGAGGGAAAAACATGGCTATAGATCAAGCATTCAGCTGGTTAATCTGTCCCAGCCCATATTTCTGCTGTGAACAGCAGAAGGTTTAATTTTACCGTCCAAACCGATGTCAAGGACACGGGCCCTGGCAGGAATCGGGGAGGGGGAAGACAAGGAAGGAAGCAGACTTAACTGGAAGAGGTTATTCAGAGAGGTGCGGTTGAAAAAGCTTGTCAACAAGAGGGGCCAAGACCTCTGCCTGTCCAAGCGGCCTTGGACGGACTGGAATGCATCATGCAGGGCTCCAAAGCCTTTGGCCGGCTCCCAGCTTCTCGGATGCTGATCGTCCACCAAGGAAGCCATGCTCTGAATACCACAGGCATAGCTTCCAAAAAGAGTGGTGGGTCATGCATTTGCGTCTCTCACCCACGTCATGGCAAGCACAGGACAGAGGCCGGGAAGGTCACGGGCACGTGCTGAATGCCAGCCTGCAGGATTGTCCTGGAAGACAGTGGTAAGAAGAGGTTGAGAGATGGCTGTAATGACCCCCCCCCCTTTCCCTTTGGACTCCTGCTTTCTGACACGTGTCTTCTAAAACTCGAAGGGTAGCCCGTGACTCTCTACTGATCAGCCTCACGTCCCATGGCAAGCCACTATGAACCAAGGTGTCAGAAACCTGGTGCAGAAGCTGTGCGGCACGTCTACTTGGGTGCGTAAAAATAAGGGTGGGATGCAGAGGTTTGAAACTAAAGAGGACCTGGAATATTTAAAGAGGAACTAGAGAACTCTGGCTAGACCACAAGGGCTGGTTCACACAGCACACTGAACACTCAATCTGCATTTAAAAAAAAAAACAGTTACATCCACCTAATATCTCTGCACAATACCTGATGGAGTCACCAGGGGCAGAATTTATATTGCCCCATTTTCCATATTGAGACTGCAGTACCTCATTGAGACACCAGGGGCCATATTTCCTATAGATTCCATTATATTACCATATTTTCCATAAAAGGACTGCAATATCTCATTGAGACACCAGGGGAACTATTTCCTATAGATTCCTATAGTTTGCAGTCTCATAGAATCTATAGGAAATACTTCCCCTTGATAGCTCAAAGAGGTAATGCAGGCTCAGTGGGTGAAATAGAGTGAAGTGATATAAAGTACAGGTAGTCCTTGGTTAATGGCCACTTGTTCACGACCATTCGAAGTTATGATGACTGGTCCTCAAAGTTCTGTCTGTTGCAATGCCCCTTAGTCATGTGATTGCGATCCAGGTGCTCGGCAATTGGCTTGTAATTACGACATTATGTAATTAGAGGCTAGTAATTAGACATATGATCGCCATTTGTGACCTTCCCTGCCGGCTTCCCACAAGCAAAGTCAATGGGGAAGCCAGCAGGAAAGATCACAAGTCACTCTGGTAAGTTTCCTGTGCCCAGGAGCAGCCACTCCAAGCCTGCTGGCTTGCTTGCGAGCTGCCTGGGTTTGGTTGTTGGAATCTGGCAGGAAGTTGCAAGGAGGTGCTCACTTAACGACCCACGATCCTTGCTTAATGATGGGAATGCCCAGATTGCTGTTGCTAAGTGATGCGGTCATGTGATGTCATGTTTTATGGCCACATTGCTTGGTGATGGAAATTCCGGTCACAATTATGTCTTTAACCGAGGACTATCTATATTTCCCATGATATCATTATGTTGCCCTATTTCAACCATATAGACTGCAAGACATCATTGAGCCACCAGGGGGC